TGTTTTGTCAGATACCGAAAGGGAGCCTCTAGTGCACCACCCCGTCATTCACAGGTTTCCAGGTGGTGCAAGTAATATGCAGCCTCCGACCATTCATCGATATCCCACCTGGGATGTGCCTAGAGTGCTGCGGGCTCTGACTGAGACACCCTTTGAGCCCCTTCGGACAATGAGCCTCAGATATTTGACTCTTAAAATTGCATTCCTAGTAGCTGTAACATCAGCTAGGCACATCTCTGAGATGGCATCTTCCATCCAGATAAGGTGATCCTGAGGCCCGACCCCTCCTTCATCCCCAAGGTTAATGCCTGGTTCCACAGGGCCCAGGAGGTCATCCTACCAAACTTCTATCCAAGGCCATCCCATGCCTTGGAGAGGAGGTGGCATACCTTGGCTGTAAGGAGGGCCCTCATGATCTATATTGAGAGGACGGCACCCACCAGGAGATCTGAGGCTCTCTTTGTTGGGCGCCAAGGTGTCTTCCATTGGACCATTGGTTGTTGGATACGGGGCGTGTATCGCCACGGCTTATCAGATGCAAACTCTGCCTGTACCCAGGATCATCATGGCACACTCCATAAGAAATGCAGCCACCACCGTTACCTGGGCTATGCAAGCCTCCCTTGAAGAGATTTGCAGGGTGGCTACCTGGACTACTCATTCATCTTTCATCAGGCATTATAAATTGGATGTCTTCACATCTATGGAGGCTTCCTTTGGCAGGAAAATCCTACAACAGGTGCACTTGGCCTTGGGGGCTCCAGGTCCAACGGCTACCTGACCTTAGGACTGCCAGGCTTTGGTATGTCCCATTCCTGGACTATTCTGCAGCTACACTGGAGAAGGGGCGTTGGTCCTACCTGAACACCTATTCTCAGTGGTTGCGGAATAGTTCAGCCCTACCCTTATCCTCGTGAGGCCTGGAGCCAGCCTTCTCTAATTTGTGGCGGAGCTTCTCTTTCAGATGTGACTTTGCCGAAACTGGGCCTGAGAGAGGGAGGCAAGGATACATGGCCGAAAAACTGACTCAGTCTCTAGGCAGATCCGACTGTAGCAACCCATTTCTGGACTATTCCTCTGGGTCCTCAATACGGTGAGGCTTGGCCTCAGCTTAGACTTTCTCTCCACTCCCTCGAACCACTTTATTTGTTGCCCTGTCCTGAGGAACAACGAAACGGAGGGCCTCATGGAGACCGCCATCCAGCATCTGCTGGAGATTCAAGCCATTGAGGCAGTCCTGGAGAACCAAAAAGGACGGGGGTTTTGTTCTGAAGTCTTCGGGAGGGGGGGAGGGGGAGAGCAATTCTATATCTAAAAAAATTGAATTTGTATCTGGTCTACAAAAGGTTCAAAATGAACTCCCTCTCATCCATCCTCGAGGGGGTTCAGGAGGGTGACTTTCTGGCGTCTATCAACCTTACAGAGGCTTACCTCCATGTGCCAATCCTCCCAGCACATAGTATCTACGCTTCTACTACAAAAAGACCCACTACCAATACATGGCATTGCCCTTCAACCTAGTGTCAGCACCCTGAGCCTTCACCAAGGTTCTGGCGGCTTACCACCAGTCGATACCAATTCGCCTACAATGCTACTTAGATGACATCCTTGTGCAAGCATCCTCCTTTAACGAGGCGACAGAGGCACTGCAAACTATGACCACAGTTTTACAAGATCACGGCTTCTCCATCAACTTCCCAAAGAGTCATCTGGTTTCAGCCACGAGGCTCTTGCATCTGGGGACGGAAATTGACACCAGGCTGGGACAGGTCTTGCTATCCCAGGACCACAAGGACAACTTGATTTCCCTGACTCGGCAGGTAAGATCAGAACGCATGGTTCCAATTGCCCTGCTAGCTTGACTATTGGGGATGTTTGTGTCATGCATTTCAATAGTGCCCTGGGCGAGGCTGCACGCCAGGACCTTTCACTGGTTCTTGCTCCCATATCAACGGACAGGCAGCAGCAACTCACGCACCAGGGTATGAGTTCCCTGGACATGTTGCAATCCCTCAACTGGTGGATGTCCCCAGCTTTGGACAAGGGCTGTATCTTCAAAGAACTCAGCTGCATCATTACATTGGATGCCAGCCTCTTTGGCTGGGGGGCCCATCTTCAGACACACATGGCTCAGGGCCGTTAGACTCCAGCGGACCTGACCCACAACATAAATTGGCTGGAGCTTCGGACAACACACCTAGCCCTTCGCCAATTCAGGGACATGATCCAGGGACAACACGTCCTAATTCTCACCGACGTGATGGCCAAGGCTCACATAAACCGTCAAGGAAGCACCCACTCCCGGGGTTTCATGATGGAAGCAGAGTGCTTGGGGAGGTGGGCGGAGAAGCACTTGCTCTCCCTCAGAGCGGAGCACATCACAGGGACAGCAAACACACAGGCAGACTGCCTCAACAGGTCCACAATATACAATACGGAATGGAGGTTGCGTCCCAATCTCTTCCAAGAACTGACCGAGAGGTTTGGTCAACCAGTGGTAGACCTGTTCACCTACCCGCTGAACGCTCAATTAACACGATATTTCACCAGGTTTCCAATGCCGAGGACAGAGGGGACCAACGCCCTCCACAGCCCTTGGCCCAGGGGACTGCTTTATGCATTTCCACCGCTTTCCCTCATTCCGGGGATCATCCGGAAGATATCACTGGAGCGGGCAGAGGTCCTACTCATGGCCCCCCACTGGCCCAGATGCCCATGGTTCGCGGACCTGATAGGACTTTCAATTTCTCTGCCCTCGAGGATCCCTCAGGAGAGGATCTCCCTCAGCCAGGGGGTCTTGAACCATCCGGAGCCACAGTGGCTCCACTTGACCGTTTGGCACTTGAGAGGAGGCTCCTGAGGAGGGACAAGTTCTCCTTCAGGGTCATTCAGACTATTCAGGCTTCACGAAGACCATCTATGAATTGCATTTATGATTCAACATGGACAGCCTTTATCAACTGGTGTACGGTCAGGAACACTGAACTCACCTCAGCATCGGTGTCCCAAGTCCTGAACCTTTTAAAGGACGGTCTGGACAGGGGCCTGTCACACAACACCATCCATTAACAGGTAGCAGCAGTCTACAGTATTAAGGTGTGGGAAAAGAACATCCGACTCATCACCCAGTCCTTCAGAGATTTCTCAAGGGGGTGGTAAACTTCAGACCACCGGTGATCCATAGGTACTCCACTTGGGACTTGTCTAAAGTACTCCAGGCCCTGACATCAGCACACTTCGAGCCCTTACGGACTATGAGCTTATTCTTTCTGACCTTTAAGGTCACATTTTTGGTGGCTATCACCTCAGCCAGACGCATTTCGGAACTGGCAGCTTTTTCAGTCTGACAGGATTTATGTGTATTCCATCCTAACAGGGTGGTCCTCTGGATGGATCCCTCCTTCATTCCCAAGATGAACTCCTGGTTCCATAGGCCCCAGGACGTCATTTTGCCGGACTTCTGCCCAGGGCCTACCCATGCCCTGGAAAGGAAATAGCATACCTTGGATGGAAGAGGGCCCTCTGGATTTGCCTCAAGAGGACATCTCCTAATAGGACGACGGAGGCACTATTTGTGTCGTTCCATCCCTCCTCGAGAGGTACCAAGGTGACCCCTTTGACCATAGGCCGTTGGCTGCAAGCTTGTATAGCGACATCCTACCAAGTTCAGGCCTTACCAACTCCCAGGGGGATCACGACCCATTCTACATGCAGTGCAGCTACCACTGCAGCATGGGCAACGCAGGCGTCCATTGAGGATATCTGCAGAGCCACCACTTGGGCCTCCCCTTCACCTTTCACACGTCATTGTAAGGTGAAATTTATGCCTCTGCAGAGGCGTCCTTTGGTCAGAGGGTGTTACAAAGTGTACATATGGGATGCCGAGGATTCCGGCCAAGCGGTTACCCACCCGTAGATTGGTCAGCTTTGTTAAGTCCCATTCTTGGACATTCCTGGGAACTTTCAGAAGAATGGGCATTGGTCCTACCTGACCACCCCTTCTTTGAGTTATCCCAGGAATGTCCAAGCCCCACCCTAGCAACCGCTTGGTCTGTGGTCCAAGAACTACTGCTTACCTTTGTTGAGCTTGTCTTCACAGCTACATCATTGCCAAAACTGGGGCAGAGAGGAAGAGGACAGGAGCATGGCCCAAAAAAAATTGACAGCTCGGTCTCAACAGGAACAGATTAATTAACCCATTCTTGAACACTCCTGGGTCTACTCCGAGAAGGGGCATGTCAGGTAGGACCAACGCCCATTCTATTATCTTAAAATAAACTTAATCTAACAAAAAGTATTTTCTGTATAATGGACAGAAAATAGGCAACAAAAACTGTAAGGTGTGTGTATAAGATGTGATATAATGTAATATGATATAATGCAATGCAATGCAATAATGTAAAATATTCTGGTTGTAGACACAGGATTTTTGTAGGTGCTTTAGTTTGTAAGTAAATCCAGTAAATTTTTTCCATCTCCCTTTGGTATTACCCATGGTAAAGTATTTATATGGATTTTATCTGCTTTCTTGAATAAAAAGAAATAAGATTTTCATGTTTACTCAGCTCAAACACACACTATAAAAATTAATAAACACTGGCAAAATAAGTTTCCTGTAAGAATCCCAAATCTTAAAGAGTATCTCAATTTTTCTTTGGTACCTTTCAATATTTTAAGTAAGTGTTGATTTCACTACATTAATAACTTCCACAAGAAACATACCCGCCGTCATTCTAATTACAATACTGAATATGGCTTCATGTCTCACACAGCCAACTGAACTTTTAAAAGGAAAAAAACCCAAAGTAAATACTATATCCAAACTTTCCCCCAAATCATGTCACTCTTTAAAAAATAATATATCGATCAGACATATTTCACAACTTTTAAAATACTATTTCCTTTGAACTCAAAATGTGAACCTGTTTTAAGGATCCCATTTTCTTATCTTATATCAACCACATACTCAATGGCATCCTCATAATATCAGCAGCACTTACTCATCATACTTGATATGATAAATAATATCTTCAGTATCCATATAATCTGTATAAGATGTGGAAGGTGTATTGTCCAAATTATTTGTATTTTCTCTAGAATGATCTTGGCTCAAGTTTCCATTAGTCCTTTTGTAATTACTGCCACTCTTTCCTTGAGCTTTTCCATTTTTATGTCCTTTTGTTGCTCGAGTTACATTTTCTATATGAGCTTCGAACCAGGATCCAATAGTGACATCTCGGGCATCCACCAATTCATTTATCTAAAAATAAATTTGACATTTAGTGAATGTTATGCTGTAGAAACAAACAACTAATGTGATGATGTTGAGCTTCTGTGCTAACTACATTTACACTTATACTAACTTAATTCTAGTTTGGCATTTTTGTCTCTACACTCTTATACTGCCTATATTGAAAGTTGTAAAAACAGAATTCATAAAATAGGATAGTCCTTTGTTCTGCCCTACTGGAATTCCCCCAACATATGAAGCAGATCTGAAGTTGTGAAAGAAATGTGTGAGAATAAAGAAATGTCGGTGGATGCCATTTTAGCAGCAAACTATTGCCATTTGGTATAAATCTGATTGTCAGAAAACAGTTTTCAAATAGAAGTTGCACAGAAACTATATATTTAATGAAAATAGAATTATTGGGCTATATGTAATATTCTTCCATATTATTATTAACACCAATGATTTAATATATCTGCAATTTTTTAATACATGTATGTCCAACTTGTGGGCCACATGAAGCCCTGGATAGGTAGTAATGCGTCCCCACAAGATTATAAACTTTTAATATTATGCTATTTTTATAACTAATATTATTAGTTATATTTTATAGGCAGCCCAAGACAATTCCTCTTCATTTAATGCGGTTCAGGCAAGCCAGACAGTTGGACACCCATGTTTTATTTGTTGCTCTATTTTAACTGGATGTTTCTATTTACTGTTTTCCTAATATTCATATTTTCTGTAGAATTAATCTATCATCATATAATTAAATAATTGAATCAAGAATACTTTCTTTCCCTCTTGCTATGTACCATATTATAATGCAAAATACACTTAATATTTCACATATAATCTAAATGTTGACTTATTGATCTTAATAAAGTATACTCTTTTAAATAACAAGGGTTGTGTAAAACAACACAGCCTTACTGTTCAACAGGGGTGGGTTCTAATTTTTTTTACTACCGGTTCTGTGGGCGTGGCTTATTTTGTGGGCATGGCTTGATGGTCATGTGATGATTATTTAGGATTTAGCAGAGGTACTGGTCTACCAGGCTTTTAACTGCTTGCAGAACTGTACCAATCTACCCATTTATTTTTGCAGGCACTGGTCTACCCATTTATTTTTGCAGGCACTGATCTACTCATGTATTTTTGCAGGCACTGATTTACTCATGTATTTTTGCAGGCACTGGTCTATTCATGTATTTTTGCAGGCACTGGTCTACCCATTTATTTTCTTTTAACACTGATCAGCTGTAGGGTGGCCCTTTGAAGCCCCGCGGCAAGAGTTTAAACAGTTTTTTTCCCTCTAGTCATCAGCTGGGACTCAGGAGGCAGCAATAGATGGAGGTGGGGCCAAATAAAAGTTAAGAATAACGCAGGGGGTTGGGAGGGGCAGAACCGGTTCAGTGATGTCATATTGTCATCGCTACCAGCTCAGCGGAACCGGGCGGAACCCACCACTGCTGTGCACCCAAAATCATGAACTCAATCATCACTACTGCACCAGTCTTTAACAACAAACTCCCCTCATGTAGTAAATTTTCACTATTTTTTTAATTTTAGTCTCCTACATTTTGCTGGAAAATGCATTTAATATCTTTCAAAAATATGCTCCTAAACCTATCCTAATTAAAGTCACATTACAAATTAATGTCATGCAAGCAGATTGCCATGAAAATAGTCAATTAATTTCCTTGGCTTTCTCCATACCCCAGATTACCCAACCTCTGCAGCACATCTAGGAAATCTACAGAATCAGAAAGAAATTGGTTCTTAGTAACACATTCCACTGATGAATTAACATAGTTGTACACAGGTCTGTTTATATAGACACCAAATGACATCCATATACAATGTATTTTAAAATAGATAAAATACAGTTTAAAATATAGTATCATAAACCAACAATCTAAAGTACAGGTTTCCAAGATAAATTTTCAGGGATAGTGAAAGCAATCAACTAATATACACTATTTATTTGTGCTTAAAATTTGTTTCAAGTAACTTGAAAACAGAATAGAGACAAAACATGCTTATATTAGTGTAATAAATTCTTTCATAACAAAGCCATGCAATTTAATGTTTTCCCTAAATCTTTCCAGGGGCTAGAATTGTGTTGTTATTTAATGTGCAATAGTCCAAGTGGGTGGTACAATAAAGACAGTTTTTCCTCTGCTGTAGCCGTCAGGCATGCTCCTAAAGATGTTCCTAGCAACTTAGCATCCTGATTAACTTTACACATGATGACTAAGAATCCCACTAGACATTCACATTTTAGATCAGATGGGCACAAACTATCGAGAGGAAAGGCCACATTGATAAATTAAAATTTCTTGTAGGTTACAAGGAAGTATTTGGAGTCCTGATCAGCTGTTTTGTAGCTAGCAGTAATGAAACCATGGGAGGTGATGGCAGCAGTGAGGCCTGGAAGTATTCAGAAGCATGTCTTTCATGATAATGGCTATAAATTTACTACTTTTTATAAAATATTGGGGAACCTCATGCAACAATGTAGCTATGTACTGAAACTACTTCAATTTCAAAAAGACATCTTTAATGGTAACCAAGATAAAAATTCCCAGGCAGATATGCAGTGCATAAATTGTCAGTGTGCTTGAAATAACTCCTTCAAAGCCCCCCCCCTCCCCAGGATATGCCCTGTATTGCTTCTTCTCAAATAAACTGAAATCCTTCTCCCCTACCACCTTCCCAGGTTCATTCACATTTATTGTACATACCAAGAGATATGTTGCAATTTGAAGTCAGAAAGTCACTGAGAAGCTGTCATAGGACTATATTAAGTACCATGCCAAAATTTCAGTCTCTGTACTTACGTACAGAATAGCACACACAGATACAGCAGCCATTTCTTTTTATGTGCACACACTCTCCTCTTGGTTTTGGTTTGTGTGTGTGTGTGTGTACACATACATACATATACACACATACATATTTTCCAGGAGGAGAAAGAAAAGTTATCTTTCTTTCTACATGCAATGAGCTTAAAATCATTGTCCCTCTGCTGCCAGCTGCAAAAAAAAAGAATGTAATGAATTTGGTAGGAAAGAAGGAAAAGACACAGGGAAAAAATGCTTAAATCTACTGTATTTCATCATTTATAACAAGAATATAGTGGTTTAACTAACTTTGTAGGGGGAAAGGGGAAGTGATAGTCTCCTGTAGATTAACTAAAAAGTAAACTGGGACTATTTGGAAGTGATGATCACAAGGCTTGAAGCAGTAGGCCACTTACATGGATTCCATGATCACATTTTAAAAAGGTGAGCGCAGAAAAGGTATGTCAAGTGCTGCCACCTTCTGAGATGGTACTTCTATATAAAGTTTTGCCTTGAAAAAAGAATGGAAACAAGGAGGGGTGGTTTCGTATATAAACATATCAGGGGTGGGTTCTAAAAAATTTTATTACTGGTTCTGTGGGCGTGGCTTATTTTGTGGGCGTGGTTTGATGGTCATATGACAATTATTTAGGATTTAGCAGAGGTACTGGTCTACCAGGTTTTAACTGCTTGCAGAGTTGTAACGATCTACCCATTTATTTTTTCAAGCACTGATTTACTCCTGTATTTTTGCAGGCACTGGTCTACCCATTTATTTTTGCAGGCACTGATCTACACATTTGTTTTCTTTTAACACTGATCAGCTGCAGGGCGGCCCTTTGAAGCCCTTTGAACGGAGATATCCCAGAAATGAAATCTACATGCACACGCACCTACACAAACCCAGAGTTCTCACATCTGTAAATTTTCATTTCAGAAAGCTGTTCTGTGTTAAAAAAAAATAGATGTTGCACATATTTATATGTAATATAAAATTTGTCTGTCCAATTTATAAATAACCTGTAATCCAGGGTGGATTTGATTTAAACCAAGTCGATTTAAATCACGATTTAAATCACTAGTAAAAAGGCTTGATTTAATTCAACTCGATTTAAATCATAATTTGTAAAGAGCAACTGTCATCTCTGTCCCACAGAGACTCCTCCTCTGACCCGCTGTTGACTCACCAATGGTCCCAATATTGCAGTATTTCCCAGTAAATGAAATCTAGTACAATCATAAACCAATAATTATAAATAAGGACTAATATTCCCATTACCCAATCTAAATGTTACATTTCTAAAGGCAAACATAATTCTACAAATGTCATGAAAGTAGACAGATAGCGTCCATTTTTATGATCCTCTATTAGGGAAAATCACTTTCAGAACTACTTAAAGGCAACATAAGATCTGATAGTCCTCTATACGAGGAAAGAGATACAAGGCTGAAAGTTGATGAAAGGAAGGAATGGATTAAAGAAAAATCACCCATGCACAAGGACAAGCATATAACTGAAAAAAAGGGAATAACCGGCTATAAAACCAATAGGTTCAAAAGAACAACAACACAAGGATGGTGTGTGTGTGTGTGTGTGTGTGTGTGTGTGTGTGTGTGTGTGTGCGTGCGCGCGCGCGCATGAAAATACATTCAGAAAAATAGTAGGAGCCGAATTTATATATGAACTTGAACCTAACAAAAATACCGGGACACATTTAGTACTATTTTATAAGAATGATGGGCCTTCTTGTTCCAGCCATTTTATATGATCTTCTACTTTGTCCCTCTGAACCTGGACACTCTGTCCATTTGCTTTATCCTCTATACAGAGAAATGAAGGAATGAGTGTAACAGAGGATGAGCTGGATGAAACTATTTTAAAGACTGAATCTAGTCATAATCCATTCACTGGAACCACTAGATCATAAGCCTCACAAAAGAAACAGCACTTTTCTGGCATAAGAATGAGAGTTATGACCCTACTTCAGTTATAGCACTGAAGTTAGAAGCATAGGTAAATGGCTTCTAAGAACTGAACTATTAACAATGCTTGAATTCTAGCTGCAGCAGTATGTATTTCAATGTATTTCTATGGTAACTGAATATTAAACAAGGCAAAAAAAAAGGCTTTTTACATTTTCAGCCACATCAAGCAGCGCATGGGTTTACATTGAATACAGCTTA